TATACAATGGCTCGTGTGCACTATAAAGAACCCAGTACATCCTTCGAGACGAGTAGGGGGATACCCCCTGTCTCTTATACACATCTAGATGTGTATAAGAGACAGGATTGGTACCAGATTAAATAACATTAATACATTATGCTAATTTTCATCTTTGTAAGCGCATAAGACAGTGCAAATTATTTCTGTGACAGTCTTTTGAAGTGTGTAAAGCTCCATTTTATCCTATACATAGTCAAAATATTGGGGGGGATGATACAATGGACCATCCCCCCCTTGTCAAATATTGGGGGGGATATATCCCCTCCATCCCCCCCGGGATCTACGCCTATGCACACGGCACATTTTAAAAAGTCACGGCACACTTTCAAAATTTACCACACACTTTTAAAAACTACGGCACACTTTCAAAATTCACTGCACACTTTTAAAAACTACAGCACACTTTCAAAATTCACTGCACAATTTTAAAGACCACACACTTTCAAGATTCACGGCAACACTTTTGAAATGTCACGTCAAACTTTCAAAATCACAACTTCCGCCTTGGAAAGTACAACTTCCGCCGTGAGGTTCATTAGTTGCTAAATACAAGCCTGGGCTAGGTCGGACTATGAGATCTTCAGCCTAGGCCTACTCCAGGTACCCCGGTCCCATTAGTCCAGGCCTCGTTTACGTTCAGATTGGCCTAAGCAGAATCTGTTGTAAGACCCTGGCCTAGGCCCCTTCTCTAGGCCTGGCTACTGGAGAATCCTGTACTGAATATTAATTATTATTTAATAACTTTTATACAATTACGTCCAGTACAAATAAAGAAATGGGAAAGGTAATATGTAATTGAATTATTATTTATTAACTTTCCGTCACCCTTTCTCTTCTGGAATACCTGTAGCCATGGCAATTTTAAATCAGTTAAAAAATAAAATCGATCATACGTCTAAACCAGGGCGCGCTCTTTGTCTTGAAGATTAGGAATCAAGACATAGTACAGCTGAAATTATGTGTCGTGTCGTCACTATAAGAAGCCACGCTCCCTCGCCTGAAGTGGTTGTTTTAGTTTTTAAAAGGGGGCCCTGGTAATCACAAGGCATAGCAAAATACAACAATACCGTACAAACAGTAAGACAAAATAATAATAATAGATTAGGCCTATGTCCTTGTTTTTTTTTTTTTGTCCCTGTTTTTGTTTTTGTTTTTGTTTTTGTTTTTTTCAAAATTAGGATCTCTGGAGTATTATCAACGCAAAGAGTAAAGTAATACATAGGGCTATCTTGTCTTATTTTAGGGGTAGGGAGGCCGTAATCATAGAAAAATGAAAACAATAAATGGTATAATCAGGATAATACTACTTCACGGGCTACTACAATAAAATACTCAGTCTATGAGTTTTCCAATTTTAATCGGATGAACAATTATACTGGAAGAGACAATGGGCCTAATGAATCAAAATTACAATTGTTACAACATTATTGCAAATCTTATTCTTTTCTGCGCCGATTCGGCTTATTCAAGCCATGATCCTTACCAAGTGCGTCGCCAGTTTGCCGGCCCTTTCATAATCATCATGCGTGAGTGTATTTATGTGTGATTGTTGAAGTTAAGATTTATCATATTTTAATTGTTTCATGCTTTTAAACAAAATTTCCATGGCTATAATAGGCCTATATACCAGAAGAAGAGAAAGGGTACCGGTAACGGAAAGTTAATTATAAGTAATGATAATTATTTTCTTATATGTCTGTATTGTAATGTAATTGCATAAACGTTATTTATTAAATAATAATTCAGTACATGATCCTTCAGTAGAGGCATAGAGAAGGGGCTAGCCCTGGGTCATATTCTGCATAGGCCTCTTAACGTGAAAGAGAACGAGGCCTAGACTACAGTGTGACCGGTTAGCTGCTGGACATTGGCTAGGTCTCCTAGTCCGACCTATGTAGCCCAGGCTGAAGTGGTTGTATTGAGCAATTCCCATGTTCCCACCGGTGGCCAAAAGTTTTAAGAATCATTAAATTTCTATCACTTCCGCCGTGAGACAATCATTTCCGCCGTGAACTATCACGGCGGAAGTTGTACTTTCCACGGCGGCAGCTGTGATTTTGAAAGTTTGACGTGACATTTCTAAAGTTGTTGCCGTAAATTTTGAAAGTGTGCCGTGGGTTTTAAAGTGTGCAGTGAATTCTGAAAGTGCGCCGTGGTTTTAAAAGTGTGCGGTGAATTTTGAAAGCATGCCGTGACTTTTTAAAGTGTGCCGTGTGGTTTCGAAAGTTGTTGCCGTGAATTTCGAAAATGTGTCCGTGACATTTCGAAGGTTGTTGCCGTGTCACATATGGGCCACCGTATAATAATGTAATATTGAATGAGGTCAGCCAATTATCATTGAATTGGTTCAATAACATCATTTATTGCTAAATCATGCTGTATGCAGTGAAGCAGATATGAAACGTGTATCTTTTCAATAGATTGTCTAAAAATACGTACGGTATCACACGTCAATACACAAAATAACAATATGCCCACAGTTTAACAAACTTTAAAGTTTCAAACAAAAACGTGCAAACAAAAACAGTCTAAATCTACGCAAGCACGTTCTAAAATTGTTTTCAAACATTCTAAAGCGTGCCTTAAACTGTTTTCAAAAGCATTTTTGTAGTGCAAGTAGAGATACAGGAAATTAACTGTACAATAACGAAGTTTAAATAAAAAAATAGTTTTAAACAGATAAAAGCATATTATCTAAAGTGTCATTAATGTTGTAAACTGTAGTTAATGCTTATTTTATCTAAGCTGGATTACCGTATAGAAAACGTCTCGCCTCACGAACATAAATTGATGATTTAATTATAGTTATTAAATATAAATATACACAGACCTTACTTGAATAAACTTCTAAGCGATTTAACCATAAAGAGTCAAAAATAACAGTTTCTATTTCTACACCTCCTGTATACTTCTACAATTTTAGAGTCCTTATAGACGTCGGCTTTACCCACCAGATCCGACCAGTTAAGATGTGATCTACAGATATATTGTCGAAGGCATTGAACGCTGACGTGGGTGAATATGAAACTTCCTTTCCTTAGGCTTAGTCACAATTCTCATGCACTCAGTAACTATGTTAATACACTTGCTGTGATTGAGTTTCTTAAAAAGCCATTCCAGTTCTTTCATAGCCCCGTGATTTGTCAGTTGCTTTTCTCTGCAAAGCACCTCCCATGTGTCAAGTAGGGTAATCGTCGGACTTGTACTGGATGGGAAATTCTTGGGTGCCCCAAGCCAGTCTATGAAGGATTCGGACATTCCCATCAATTTTGCTAGTCCTCGATAGTCACAAAACATCAATTCTTTGTCGCCTTGCATCTGTGATACCCTCAGAACGTCAAGCTGAATGGAAAGTTCACGACGTACTTCCATTGATAGAATAGGTCGAGCCAACGGTGAAGGTGTAAACACGAGTTCTCGCGAAGAACCATCAGCCTATACATTTCAATAAAGAGTGAGTCAGTTCCTTGTATAGACTCTTAATTTCTACATCATTTTCGACCTATATTAATTTTATTTTTTAATTTAACCTAGTAAATACCTACTTAGTAAAACACTCAGGGCAAATCTGTAATTGGATGCAAAGAACAAAACACGACTAAAGCTCAACACATTATTTTGTTTCGCTTTTGGTGACAAGTACTATACGTTTTAGGCATGGCATAATTTGCTTATAATTTAGACGTAATTAGCATTACACGTGCTTAGTACTTTTACATCTAGACTAATGGCTTTTAATTACAGATATTGTAAGTTGTAACATAGTCTGTAAATTAGTAAAATTGTTTGATCTGTGCCTTACTGGAAGTTATAACTTATTATCTGATGACAGTATCAGTGGCACAACGCATTTGCGCTCTCGTGCAGCCATGCGGTGGTCCCCGATCTAGCACCATACCCAAAAGGGCTTTGTTGATACATATCAGCATATGTCTCCGATATCGACTGTAGGACATATATCATAATACATATAATAGGCCTATTGTATAGACTCCACCTGTGGAGGTCCCTCTCCCTGGGCCCCCTATTTTTTTCAATCCCCATATCTGCCACTGATATCATATCATTTATTTCGTCGTTAAAACATGTAGAAAAAAATTAAAAACATGATTAAAAAATGAGCACATCTAAAATCCCACAATGGAATTGGCGACCGGGACCTTAAAGGCCGCAGTCTCAGAAAGCCCGGCCCCGGGCTCAATCGTTACGCTACTGTTCATAGAAATATTGTGTATCAAAAATACAATAGAAATACAAAAATTTATTATAAAAGGTAGATAGACAATGTTCAAAATTAAATGCAAAAGCTATTGACGTAATGAAACACAGTGAATGGAACCAAACACAGCGAGACGGAATTCGGATGCACGAATAATTTCAATTAACCTTTCCATTTCGTTTGTTGCTTTAAATGACTGACACGTTGGGCCAATATCCTCACCAAAAGAAAAAAAAAAAAAAAAAAAATACAATTAAACAAACACAAAAGTACAATACAATAGTAACTATGCATCATGGGTACAGACGTTACTCCACTGAAAATGGTAATAGGCCCTATAGCTTGTAATGTTACGCATGGTGTAATATCAGATCACACGGTTTTATAGGACTACCGTGAATATACTATTGTTGACTATTATGCTCTTTCACACTCACACCTTAATCAGCGATTGTGTAAACTAATTTATTTTTACTTTTATATTTTGAGGAATGCAGTATACATTTTCCATCCTCTTTTTAAAAGGTTAAAGGTTAAAGGTTATTCATTTATATTGCGCAAAATACGAGTCTTTATGCATTTATACTTTTTTATTACATGGATATTTGTATCTGAAATAAATAAATGAATGAATGAATAGTCCGTGCAGTACCGTGCATAGTATTTTAATGCAGAGCAGTTGGGGAACTTTTTTCCCATGACCCAGTATGCTACTCGAGGCATGATTCCCGACCGATGTTTTGAGGCCATTTTTAACTCATTAGAAAAGTAGATTTAGGCCTAGTTATGTTTGTAAAACACCTATTGGGTTTTATCGCGTATGTTAACATTCAATAGTTAGGACAGCATTAATAGACTAGAGAATATTCAAGAAAAATGATCATTGTTCTTCTTTTTTTTTTATTAGAGAGTGGCACAATTGTTAATTGCGGATATGACCGAAAGTATTAATTATTTATACTTCAAAGGGTTATTTTCGCATGAACTCTACACTATTACAAAATAGATGATTTTATCTGTTGGGCCTGGTCAGTGATGATATTTGCAGAATAATTGAAGTCGTTCCATATTTCTCTCAGACTTTGTCTGCAGGCCTAATATAATTCTTATGTACAAAGTAAAATAAATTATTCGTCAAACGAGATTGGCCTTTTTATTCTGTTATGAGCTTGTACGCTACAGGGTACAAGTAAATAATAATTATAGGTCTGAAACGCTTACAAAGTTTACATCACAATATGTTTAAAATTATAAGTTATATTACCATACGAGAGTACTGCATTACCATACGACAGTGCGTACAAAGGCTATTGACGAAACATAGGGAATTGACAGGGGAAAAAAATCAAATAATCGTGCTACCGAATTCCGTCTGTGTTTTGTTCCATTCCAATATGAACAGTATGTACCGTATGTTCAATGAGCAACTGTATGTACTGAGTTTTGATAAATCGTTTTAAAGATAGCAGCAAGTATAGCTTTATTATAATGTTCAATTTTAATAACGTTATTGTTGTCGAATATTCTTTATTCAGTACTCAACAATGTAAACAATCTAAATAAAACGATTATGACTCGGTTACATGCTATACAAACCTTATACAATTTATCTACAGCCGCTTGTGATTTTATTAAACTGCGTCCTGCGTTCACATGTGCGAAATGTACAATCCTGTCACAAACATTCACTTGAAACTTTAAGTAAGCTTCATTGGTAGGCTCTTTAGGACGTTCCAACACAAATTGACGAAATACATATCCTACGTCAGAAACAACATCGCCGACACAAATTGTCTTTAAAATACAAAAATAACTTTGTAATACTTAAATGTTTAAACTGACTAGGCCTATCAACAAATATTTAGTATAAAAATTGTTTCTTATCTTCACATAAATCTTAAAAAAGAGAGGGAGAGTGAATTAACATTAAAGTAATCTTAAAACGAATTTTTAGATATTCAGACATATTTTGGTGGGTAAGCACAAATTAATAAAGGTCCCTTTAGTGGAAATCAGAGACAAACTTTATTAGTTGATGCAACCTTCTTTAAAACTGTCAATGTAACCTGTCCTATTTATCATTTAATTCCAATTTTATAATACAAAAAAGTTCAAAAAGTTTCTTGTGGTACAGCCATAAATAATTATTTTTATATATTGTAACATACTTTCTAACTATTAACGTTGCAAATGGTCGATGCTTGGTATTAATGTTGTTTATTGCTCAGTAACCCAGTAGTATTTAAAGATAAAGTATATTAGGAAGTCACAATAAGTTATAACTTTAACACTTCACCCACCGAAATATGTTAAGCCGTGACCACCTAGTCGGGCCTACGACCACCTAAGCGTTCGCAAATTTTATAAGGTCTTGTCTTTGCTGGGTGTATCAGAAATAATAGGCATACTCATAATAGTGTAGGAAGAAAATTTCATTAGCAGAAAAGGATAAAAATAGTTCACGTATTTGAATAAATTTACTTGTCATCACATGGTCAGAGCTTTCCCTGTCTTACATCCCCGTCTCGATTTGGCCTGCAAAAACTAATTTCTGCTCAGGTCTTCAGATAAGAATACTGAACCAGAGAATTCCTTAGAAGTCGGCTTTTTAGTACTGACTTCATAAGTTGCCTTCAAAACCATTCAAGCGCTGCCTATATCATTTTATCCTCTCATGTAATCATTATGAATAGAACTTAACCAACCTCTTAAATTCAATAGGCAGCAAATGTTCCCTTGCCTTCTTTTGGAAAGGCTTTCTCCATGAAATTCGGCTTAATCATCCAACTTAAGCATTATAATTGCTACTGTGTGTAAGAGCACTGTAGTGTTCAAAATATTTATATAGGTACAAATAGGTTAGACAAAATTGAAAAAAAGATTAGAAAAAAGGATTGTGGGTGTAATTTAATATCCAATCAGACTATGAGAAAATGAAAAGTTTGCTTTACTTTTTGATTTTTTGTGCTGCTTAATTGTCAATAATAAAAAAAATAAAACAAAAAAACAAAAAAAAAAAACTTGTTTACACTTTGTTATTTTGTGATTTGTTTGTTCTCTACCTGTTGTTTTGACACTGCGCCTTGAGCACCAATTTTTGGTGGTGATGTTTGCGCTTTAAAAATCGTTATTATTATTATTATTATTATTATTATTATTATTATTATTATTATTATTGGTTATGTTTATCGGAACTGTTAAAACAAAATATGAGCCTTTTCCTTACGTAATCAGATGGTTCCACTCTGCAATCCACACATTCAACAATTTTAATTTTGACTTCGTCACGTGATTGGTAAGAGCCAATTTTAACTGGATTTCCTACCTTTCGAGAGCTATTTTCAGATTCCTCTTTCGTCACATGCTGAAACATAAACAAACCATTGGTTTTTCCTGTCCTTGTCAACTCTTATCAATTTCAGAGTGTCTGAGTCTGTCGCAAAAACTCCCATTTTAAAATTACTCTGATTATTGTCTTCGCTCGACTCAACATACGTTTCATAAAGGTTTTGAGTTTGTGTCTTGAAGATGTTGAATTTTGGATAGGCCTACTATCACAGAAACACCGATTTTGGAATACTTCGTATACTTAGAAATTTGAATTTGAAAGTAGGTCCTATGCTTATGACTTTAGTAAATACAAAAAATACATAAATAAATAAATAATGATTAAAAAACACCCTATTCAATATCTACGTAGGTCTATATTAAAAAAAAACTCTGAGTTTCTGTATAATAGTGCGCGAAAAAAATCGGATTTTTCACAGAGCATTTAGTGAGCGTAACAATTATTAATTTTTCAAAACGAAAATTCTTCGACTTCAGATTATATTATTTGTGTATTATTATTATTATTATTATTAGTATTATTATACCCGGAAAATCCTAAAAGTAACGCTAACGTGGGCTCAAACACCAAATACGCAACTCATTAGCTTTGTTTTAACTGTACTGTAACACGTACGCAAAGCTTCAAACTCGGATGTTTTGCATATGAACACAAGAAGTCTAAAATTAAAGCGCAGGCACTCCGAAATGAAAGTAAACGAAACTCGTTATTGTTAGGAGGATCAATGAATTAGGTTAACATATTTTTAGCTGGAACTATTCGAAACTAACGATACCAATTAACTGCCAATCTCAACATTCCAATGTTATGGCTTCCATCAATTCAATTCTGTTTATCTATGTGCACTTTTCACACAGAACAAGATATCATCGGAATAAAACGAAATTCCGAGAGAATTGTGGTCAGACTGGAACCTATATTTTTATTGGTCGACAGTATGCAGTATATTTAGACTATATTTCAATAGCCTCTGAGCACTTCAGATACCGATTAACGGCCAATCTCAACATTCCAATTTTATGGCTTTGTGAATTTGTTCCATTAATTTTTAAAAATAGATATTGCAGTACTATACTGTTATTAAAAAGGTAATCAGTAAATCTTAATTTTCATATTTAACATCTTTATTTATATATCCCTAATGGACTTATTTCTAAATAAAAAATATAGAAATATAAAGGCCTATGTCTAAAACAATGAAATAATAAATACCATTAATGCCGAATATGTACTACAGAATACACGCAAAGACAAATTACGGTTATCACATCTTTCCAAGAAAGCAGAAATGTAAATTGACCTGCTCCGCGCGTCCTCCGTCGGATCATCTGTGCTTGGAGTACTTATAACTTCATGATTAGGTTTGATTCCCGTAAAGTGGTTCAAATGCAAAAACACGTCGATGTCATCCAGGAAACAGAAACCATCTTCACTTGTATCTAGAGACCTCCAGAGCATAGGTTCCCCTAATTTTTGAACACTAAGCATGATATTGGTAGACCTATGTTGTAACACGCGCTCTTCGTGTCGTGGCTTTGATTTCGGGAAACGTAACACTACCGAGTTGCTAAATTTAAGACCAGGGGGCCCACAGATAATAACATCATAGTATACCAAGTTACATTGGACTGTGTCTGCATATACGAACACATATTCCCCATCTCCGTCTATTTCTATTGCCCCAGGTGGAATAAAAAGCTGTATTCTTCTATTCTTTAATTCTAAGTAGCCTCCATCTTTACCAATAAGTCCAATTACAAATTTTCCATCTTTGCTAACGTTGTTGAAACATTTCTCTGTTTCTGTGCGTCTCCATTTGTCGTACATTAGCTTACATCGTTGAGACATCATGTTCTCTTGATATTCCATCTCAAAGTTGTTTCCATGAGTAAAAGAAGAAGTGATAGGCTCTTGTCTCGCAGACATCGTTTATTTCAATTATGCCGAGACAGATACAAGCAGGTTAAATAGCAGACAATTGTCACTGTTAAATTTATTTTTCACGAATTTTGCTACATTTCCTGGTCACACCATCGATACAGAAATAACTATGACATGACTGTATTGGGCATTATAAAGTTTACGATGGAAGAGACCATTATTTAGCAGGAATTAAAATAATATTGCGTATGAACAATAAGTGGAAGCTTATGGTGCAAAAATTGTAATTAATTAGTGTCCTAATATTGTGCTGTAGTATAATTAAAAATAGAATAGAATTTTAAATTGATAACAAAAAAAACACTTTTGTGCGGCCAACAGGGTCCTTCGGCCACAGGACCTCAGAATTTTACATTAAGTCCATTAATCATAGCTAGATGCTTGAAATTCGATTTTCTGGGGCCCGTGACATCATATCTAAAAATAATTTGGCACTTCAAATAAATTAATTAAGAACCGGGGGTCTAGATCATATATAACATCTTTTCGATATGTCTATAATGTTGTAGGCGTATAGTATTATTTAAAATGGTTGCAAATTATCAATTAAGCATAGCTCTATATGTTTAGTAGTTGTGAAAATGTGTCACACAAAACAGATATCATCATGATGGATGGAAATTCCCAGAGAGAATTTTCGGATTGGAACCTATATTTTTATTGGTCGACGGTGTGCAGTATATTTAGATTTCAATAGCCACTGAGCACTTCAGAAACTAATTATTTACGATGTGTTTACCGTCACGATATGGTACCTAATCTTTGCCCTGGCTATGTTTCGTTGTCTTTTATATGTCAGTTAAATATTGTACACAATCAGACCATGGTACGCACATTAGCACAAGAAATGGTGTCCAGCGAAAGAGCACTCAACAAATACAAATAAACTTTATTGTAATTTCCAATATTGTGAAACTGAAGTTGACCATATAAAAATTGATTAATCCACGGAATGTAAAATTAAGATTATCTAAAAATTACACTAGAGTTAAGACAACATTAAAAAGGAAGGCAACAAATAATAAAATGCCAGACAAGTTCATCATATTGTCTTACCTGGGGCTGATCTGCAGGGGTGGCGCCAGCGGGGGGGGGGGGCTCCGTTGGGAAGGGCTGTCCCCCCCCCCCCCCCCCCCCCCGGG